CTACAGCCTCCACTAACGAGCAAAGCTCCGGCTATAATGTATAAATTCAGAGAGGTGGACAATAAGCTAATGTCTTAGCCTTAAACCCATGGCACAAAGAACCCCACTAGAGGCAGAGGCAGACATTTAGATACAGCAAATCACTGAAATGAATGTTTAACTCTTAAGTGTTGTGATTCATCTAATCAGAATAAGTCCTACATTGCAGTCATCAGCAAATAAGTTCAAACCAATATCCACAGATAATTGAGCGGTACCACAATAAATCAGTAATGAGATAGAAAATAACAAACCTCTACTGACTGCAAAGGATCCAAATACAAAAACCAAAAGAGCAAGGATGAATAAGAGGAGCATTGCAACCCTTCTCCGACCAAAGTATCGACAAAACAAGGGAATAACTCTCTCCCTCTCTCTTGAACTTGAAAGAATGCTTTTCGAAGGCTTGTGCACGAGTAATGACGTTGCTGAACTTTGCAAAGCACCATTTTGTAGGTGTTGCTGCAGTGATGTATAGCTTCCCGTACGAAGACCCAATGACCCTCCAGTCATTATACCTCCAACCCCACAACTTCGAGTTTCATCTCCTGTAGCTTCCCAGGAAAACAATCAGTTTTCCAAGAATTGAATTAATTTTGAACACTGAAGTCAGAAGTGATACAACAAACTCTTGCTGTTACCACTCACCAACCAACACCAATCGGCTAAATCGATCAAGTTCTATGATAGAATCATTACAAACCCAATATCGATTCAGGGCAAAAATCAAATTAAAATCCACCAAAACCACAATTCCTTTCAATGCTGAATTCTATACGGCCGTGGACAACTCCAGGTCAAATACAATGCAAGAAGAGAAGACCCCATTCCCATAAAGCCAAAAGTGACACCTATAATCACGAATTACAATCATTTACTGGATCTGCTAACCAATCATGTCGTGTCATCGGACTTCATCACAAAACCACCTTAAACAGAAAAACTCAACTCTTAAACCCAGTGTTCCTTCCCCAAAACCGATTGCAGTGGTGACTCGTAGAAGCCTACATATCCAGAAACCAAGGCTCAGAAACAAACTCCATCCCGAATCCGAATCCGAATCCGAATCAGAATTCAAATCCACAAAAATGAAAATTAGTCGCAAAACTTTCTACCCGTAACAGATCAGTGCCTGCTCCGAGACAAAAACCAATCGGACTTACCTCGTACAGAAGTGGACTCCAAAGCCAATCCAATCAAAACTTCCACCGGTCGGCGATTGTGTTTCTTAACCGGAGGCTATGAACGGCGGACATTTCCAAAACGAGTATTCCGGCCACAAAATTCCATGGTTTTTTACGTACCCAAACGGAGTAGAATAATGGAATTTATGTTGCGCAAATTGCTCTTTACAATAGTTTTCTTAATAATATTTTAATATTTATACATTCAGATCTTAATTTATCCCTGAATGTGACAACTTTCTGAATCAAAATTATTTATTATTTATTTTCATTAAATATTTTTAAACCGAAATTGTCATTTCTCTACGTTCTATTTAGTCCTTGTAAATAAAAATTAAAAAATATCCAAATTTTTCGTATTAAATACTTTTATATTTTCTCATTTTGACATTGACATAATCGATATTTCTATTATAAAAATATCAACAAAATAGATATCACAAATGGAAACATAGTTTTTTTAAACTTATTTGATATTTTATAGAAAATACAGAGACTGACCCTAGTGGTAAAAACCCAAATATGGAATTTCACGCAAAGTAAAAATTTTAAATTTGATATCCTACCTATGTTCCATTATTGTCTAGTTGGCATTTTGAATTTAATGGGCAAGATGTTTAATTTTATTAGCAATATTAGTGTTTTTTTAAAAAATAGCAATATTAGAATGATGATCATCTTTGATTAGATCTTCATTTTAATATTATTTAGACGTAATTCTGTTATACGAGCACATCTTGATAAGATGTTTCAATATAATAAATGTGGGAATTGGGGATTGAACCTCCGACCTTAAAGACATAAATAAAATATTTTAATTGTTGAACTATGTTCGAGAAGATATATTTTACCTCCCAGATGGACCATAATTGGAGATACCATTGATTATGGTACAGAAGTTTATATACAAATGGGAAATGTCCTACCTTTGAATGCGGTTTTAACTATTGATTTACCTTAACCAATTAGGTGTACAACGAAATCTAGAAATCGATCACTGATATGATTTGAGTACCTCCACAAAATAGACCTTGACAGAAAACTAATAATAACGATAGCAAGTGATTGAATTGAGTGGTTACTTGTATAAAATTATTGACCATTCAACTTATTTTAGTGTAGAAACATGAATAGTTGCACAAACTTGGGATTTTTTTCCCCTCGTACTTAGTGAATGGTAAAGTCTACCACAAGCTAGCTAGTCGATGAAAACAATTCTTAATCCCATGTTGAAATTAAAAATATGCTGCACCCACTTCCACATTCCATTCCATGGGGAGAATGTTTGGTAAGGTTTTTTTTGCGTGAAAGTTGACATTCGAATTCATATAGGTAATTTTATTTAGATTATTTTTAGTTAGATTTCTAAAAAATTATACATCTTAATTCGTACCTTTTATTTATTTTCGTAGATTGAATAATATTCAATTTTGAATATTAAATTTGGAGGATTTCAAAGTTCTCGAGTGAAATAATAATGATAATAAAAATTTAGGAGGGTCCAAGATAACCGCAAAAAGACAAACCCTTGCCACAAGAACATGAAGCATGCATGAATCATGTTACCTATTATAAATACATATTTTTGTTAAATTTGAAATGGATTCGAAGGGGAAGAGAAATAAAATAGAATATGTCAATTTAAGATGTTGAAGATATATATCAATTACTATTAAGCTATGTTCGTTTTGGCATTATTATTAGAGATTTTAGTTTAGTTATATTCGCTACAGTTGTGCATGTTCTATGAATTTGATTTTTTTCATATATAATTAATGAATTTGTTTCCTTTTGTTGAGTTATTCATTATTACTTTGATACTGGTCGTTGCTTTTATCACACAGTGCATGATGTATATTCAATTTATGTTTAAGATACGAAAAATTGATGAATTGGATATTGAATGTCATAGGTCAGATTTGTTAGATAGAGATATTTACAAGTTCTTGTGTGCAGCAATTTATAAATTTATTGTGCTTACTGTTTTTAAATAAGTTATAAATTCGCATAAATGTAGAAATTTACCTATTGAATTGTGTGCTAATGCTTGAGAGAGGTTAGTATTTTCTTAAGAGGAGAAAGATTAGTAATTAATTTTGAAGACTTCACTGTCAACATTGTGAACAAATTAAGTTAACTATAGTAAATATGTTAGGGAAAAGTTAGGTGAGGTCGACATTGTAGGCTTTTCATCATTTAATTTAATTTATCGCGCCAACATAAGTATAAYTCAACGGTAATTGACATATATCTCTAGCAAACCATCRTGAGTTCGAGTCATCTATTGATTGTAGTAAAAGAAGAATTTAATTATTACCTTAATTTATTCCCATTTTTATTTATCCACCAAATAAATAGATTAATGTTAGAACTTGTTTGGCAATTATCTGTTAATTAACAATCGTCCCAACTAAAAACCATACTTTACTTGCAATGATTCTTAAATTACTGATTAATCGAAGACTTCTCCAAACTTTTGTTTAGTAAATGTGATATATATATATTTTAGAACGTACGTGTGACTTTTTAGCCCTTAAGGTACGATATACATCGTAGTTTGTGTGAACATGATAATTCGAACCCACAATGTTTTGTTTCAAGATATATACATTAATCAGTTGAACTATACTTAAAATTATCGTATTTGGTATATATTTTTTTTAGTACAACATGTGGGGGTGAAATATCGAACTCACTATCTTTTAGTTGAATATATATATCAATTACCGTTGAGCTATACTCGTTTCGACGTATTTGGTATTTTTTAATTGCACTTTTTTTTTTCTTTTGAAAACATTTCTTTGGTGGATTATGCACTAATTTAAACAGATTAAAGTATTGATAATAAAAAAAAATAAAATGACTGAAGCATTATAATCTCGATTAAAAAGTCAAAGATTCGTGGATTGTGTGGTAACTCTAATTTGAATATCATACGATTGCATCTTACTTCTTTTTTTATGATTACCAATTAAAAAAAGATTATTTTTTTAAACCACTATTTCTAATTTTAAAAAGGTAGATAAAAAATACTAATGTAAAATAATGTCCATAAATCTAATTTTTAAACATGGAAAACAAATAATAAAATCATTATCGTTGTTTTTTTTTCGAGTACAACCATTATCGAATGTTGTTTTAGAATAATCTGTCATATTGTTTTAGTACCAAATATATGGTTGATAATTCAAACTCATGACATTTCGATTAGAGACTAGAACTAGATGTTAATTAAACTATGGTTCATTTTGACGAATAATACGCCTAAGTCATTGTAAAAAWTTTAAAATAAGTGAGGAGTTCTAATAATTGGTTTAACTTTATTGGATGAGTTGTTTTTAAGRCGAGGGTAATTCAACCAAAATATTTCATGTTAAAATAATGCTTAACTCGAGCAAAATTATAAACATTTTTTTCAATTTAATTTATATTATTTAAAATACTTTTCAATTTGGTCCCTTACACGTTTTAACATTTTTTAATTGTATACTTTTTTTTTACAACAAATTAGAGATAAAATTAGAGAAGGGGGATTTGAAACTTCGACCTCAGGTAAATAAATAAGATGACATTTATCACTAAACTATGTCCATGTTGGATACAACAATACCATTATTATAAGTGAACTATAAATGATTGGGTGATAAACTTGTAACGCACCATACTTGACGAGATCACATAAATTTCGAAGAAGATTAAGCCACCAAAATCAATACAATTCGAAATTTCTCCTAACTTTTTAAATCATGTTATGCAAATTATCTTCAACCTAACTTTTTAGATTCACCAACATAAAATTTTTTAAAAAATAATATGGATTAAGTTAAAAAAAACACAAAAATATCAACACCTTAAACATATATTTAGCCAAAATTACCATCTCCATGATTTCATGAAATCAAATATTTGTTGTGATTTTTATTCTTATTTTTATAACATTTAAAAAAATATCAATCGACATCTATAATTTCATGAAAAACATGGATATTTCCAACACCAACATTTAAAACCTGAATTATATCAATCATAAAAAACTAATACTAAATATATTTCATATGCCAACATGTTATGTTTATAATAATAATTATTTTTTTAATACAGAGAAAATTG